ATTGTCTAACATTCGTCAATGTTAGTACTACTATCCCATCAAAAATGTGAATCCGAATGGATCTAATATCCTCAAACTTGGAGGAGTTATCATATTCCATTAAGAGTGAATCGTGAGATTGTGCGTAAATAGTAAAATATTCTTGGATGAAACACATGTGACAAGAGCAAGCAGAGTCCAAAATCCATTCATCTCACTCGGTAAGAGAAGATGTTCACAAGACATAGATTTTATCATTGTTGGTCAGAACATTTACAGAGGGACCAACATATTATTCTCTCTTCTCTTGCTGCTTACTACGACAATACTTTTTCATGTGGCCCAGCTTGTCACACTTCCAACACTTCATCTTGTCACTTGCACGACAATCTACTTCTTGTTATTTTTCCTTGATTTGGATCAATTTTGTGACTTGGTTTCACTAGTGAATCGCTTCTCCAATCTCCCACAAGTGACATAGAGAGCAGGAGAAGAAGAAGATGTTGAAGAAAAAACCAGCTTTTGTTGGATGTCGTCCGTCAACAAAGCTGTCACTACCTCGTTGTAAGTGATGTTCTCTTGTCTTGATGAAGCAACACACGAGATAAAGTGTGACATGAGGTTGGCAAGGAGCTCAAAAGCTGCAATGTTTTTTTCTCATCACTCAAATCCTCACCCAGGATCAAAAGATCCATCAACAAATCATTGAAAGCATCAATGTGGTCCTCGATCTTGTACCTTTGACCATCTTGAACCTCATTGGCACTAACGATGTGAAAAGTTGATTTGACAACTCCTTCATATGATACTTCGTTTGAAGCGCTTGAAACATAGCTGTCACAGTCTCCAACTCCTCAACTTGTTTCAACACATTCGACTTCAAGTAGAGAGTCACAATACTCATAGTTTGATTTTTGAATCTCATTCCAATCCTCGTCATCAACATTGAGGAATTTTGGTTTAAGAACTTTCCCCAAAACCATTACCTTGATCACATTCTTGACTTGCCAATCCCAAAGGAGATAGTCGGTACGGCCATCAAAATGTTCAACTTCAAACCTCAATTCATCAACCTTACATAGCGCCATAAGTTTGACCAAACGATTTCCAATTTGATGACGTTCCAAAATGATTTCAGCACGATCCTTGGAAAGAAAGCTTGAAACCTCGCTTTCGTCGTCTGAATGCACAAGTCCAGCACCTTTTGCAACAATTGGAAAAAGTTTCACTCCTCGCTCCAAGCTACTCATGGCCAAAAAGCACTCAGTGTTAACAGTTCTCAACACTTAGTCTCAAAAATTGTCAAAAATGAAAGTTCTCAGAGTTGAAATTTGATATCACCCATGCATAGACCACCCGTAGAGTTCAAGGGATAAAAACTTGAATCTGGATCCCAAGGGAATTTTTACTACCAAAAATTAACACAAAGTTTATTTTCCAACCATCTATTGCATCGCGTGCTCAACTTGCTTGAGAACCACCTTGTAAAATTTGAGCTCAAACGGACATCATTTGCCTACTCTAATACACCCAAATTGCCAAAAAAATTGTTTGGTTTTTTTTTTACATTATTCTTCACAAGTTGCGTTTTACCATGTGCAACTTAGGTGGAACCTTTTTTTAGCCTCTTCCGATCCAAGTATTTTGAAGCCTCTTCCGATCCAAAATTTTTGAATACTAAATCCGCCCGAAATTCCTTAAACCATGAATACTATATTCGTCACTCCGAATGTGCTACCTTGTGAAATCACCATAGCTTAAATTGACCTCAATCTTCAAACAACTCTAACTTCGCAATATCTCAACGGAATTCAACAAAATTTAGACTAAAATGATCGTTTCAAAAAGTAGATCAAGCCTATGTGTGAAAAATTGGAAAATTCAGTGAAAAAAAATTTCCAAATCTTGACAAATGAAAGTGGTTTACCTCACATTATAATGTTAGATAACTCTCCGCTTCAAATTTCAGAAATCTCTCTAATCACTTATGAAACTATCCACTTCTTCCATCAAAGTGTAATTAGTGACTCTGGAGACTCTTCTACAGAAAATCAACTAACAATTACTTCAAATTGAGAGTAGAATTTTCAACAGCACATCCGCAACTCCCTGATCTTCAAAACTCTGGAAATCAAAAATCTACATGCATTGAATGAGCTCTGATACCAATTCAAAGATCCAATTATCCAGATCGATCAAGAGTCACAACATTGAGATAACGTGATTCACCTTCCACAGATTACGTTCACGAGCAAGAGTAAAAAACTTCACCAAAGTATAGATGTATACACGGTCTCCATAGCCAAGCTCTACTTCTTCCTGTTAACTCTCTCATTGCGATACTAAACTTTTCGTAGTGACTATACATATAAACTAACCTAATAACGATTAACTTCACAACCATGGTTATCACTAATTAGAGTTAATCCAAGATAAAATTAACTTAACAAGAAATCCATTTAAGTTGGAAAAATTTTCCAACAAAATTTTACTAAAAAAGTAGTTTGATTTTTGAGTATGAGATTCAACTCAAAAATCTTATTTTTCAATGCTAGATTTGCAAGGAATAGAAATTTTTTGTTAAAATTCTAATTTATGAGATAAAAAGCTTAAGCCAAACATTTCATGCAACATTAGTTTACATTAATCCACTTGGTTAGTAGAAATTTTAACAAAATGGAAAGAAATTGATCCTTGTGATTTACTTCAAATAATCCTCGTCCATTTGTTTGATTTAAGATAAATTTTAAACAAATTTCATATCATTTCTTGAACAAAATAACATTAGTTTAAGCAGGCATATAATGAATTTATATGAAATTTTAAACAGATATGTATCACATGCATTGCATTTTATGTAACATGTTGATGTTTGTGATTACTTCATAAGTGATATCCTACACTTTCTATTCAATTGAAGTGATTTCAAATAGATATTCTCGAAACTTTCATCTTCAAATTTGCTTTCTAATCTCTTTAATTTGAAAAAATATTAACAAATTATTAGTTCATAATTAGATCTTTAAATACAAAACATTGGAAAAGCATGTCAAACTGCAAATGACTGATGTAAGATAACAACTATAGCTGATAAGCTTGTTGCACAATAAAGCAATGCTCTTTCCACTTAAGTTTAGGCTACAGGAGAAGCTTCAAAATTTAATAAGGATAAAAAAATTTGCCACTCATGTCTTTATCATATCATCTTATACCATATGTATGTTGTCAATATTGTATTCTCTGGAAGGGTTTGCTTTGGATTCATGTCTATGTTAAGTTGTTTTCATATGCATATTAATTGAGAGAAAAAAATGGCGAGCAGTTAGTTATCCTCGCTTAGGACTAATTAACCCTCGCTCTAGCTCTTCTCTCGTTGAAAGATGTAGCATTATAGGTTACTTTTGTGAGTGGCAATCAGGGTATAGTGTGGACCAATCAGAGAATGATGAATGCTAATTAACCCTAAGTGAGTGATAACTAGCACTCCAAAAAAAAATTTGTGTATTAATTTGGCTGTAAGTTATGACCACCCATCTAATATATCCCCTATTTTGTGCAAGACCTTGTACAAAAACAGAAAGAACAACATTTTATAGAGATAATCGACACAAAAAGTTCAAAGCAAAATCTGAAGACAACTGAAAGTCAATTCGGAGTCACGGATTCTGCGGCACTTTGCCGTCTTTCTGCGCCGAGAAGTTGCCAGGGTTAGTTCCGCCCGGCCGGAGGGAGTGAGGAAGATTTACGCCCGTCCGTGCGAGGGGGATCTTGTCCGGAGGGGGAAGACTGTGAATCAGGGAAAGTAGGAGCCGAGTTTCAAGCACAGGAAGACTGCCAAGTTGATGACCAGATTTGCCGTTAGAAATCCGAACATGAGAATGAAGATCACGAGGTAAATGCACAGGATTATCATGCAGACCTTCGCTCGACCCACTTCACAGATCGCCGCACGAAACAGTCACCGTCATCTCTTCTCTTCTTGCATTTCTCCTCCACCTGCTGCAGTCCAAGATGGTGCTTCTCAATGAGCCCATGATTTGGGAAGAAGTGTTTCTCCTCGGCTGTCCCTGATTCTCGCGCAGGCATCAACAGAACCCTCGAGAATTTTGACTCTGCTGGTTTTCGTTTTCCGAAAGTTCAGTTTACGGATTCAGATTCGAGCATGAAAGTGAATCTCGGATCCTGATATCTGCAGTCTGGAAGCATCTGTCACATGCTTCTCAAACGGCCTCTACGGAAATCGGAAACATCGACTGAATAAATACCACGGGAAAGATCGTTGCGACGATACGTTAACGCAATTGGTTGAAGATTGCTCTGCCTGCAGCAGTTTGGCACTGACCTTCCGCCTTCGAGGACTTGCTGTTCACATCATGTTCAGATTTGGGTTTGGAGACAGTTGTGAACATAACATTGCCAGATTTATTTCAAGCTGCAACCTCTGCGCTTAGCGTCTTGGCCCAAGGACCCGACCGTCATGCCTCTGGGATGGGGCACAGACTGACACGATGTGTAGAAATCGCAAGCTTTCCATTTTCGACACCCAATTTCATGAGATTGGAGAGGTAGGACAAACTTTCTTACGAAGCTGAAGTAACCAGCTTAAATCTACATCCCACATGAAATCGATGGCTGTCTTGTCTTGTCTTGCATCGATTATGAGGCTGATTCTCGTGCTCCAAAGGATGCACTCCAGCAGAGGTGGTCTGCTCCGCATCAATGTGCCTCTTCAGAAACGGGCATGTGACCTTTGATTCATTGATCTGCTGCTCAGAGTCGTCCGCAGATTCAGGTCCTGGAGGCCGAACCCACGACTGGGTATGGAATGTCTAATGGCACGTCCTTTGAGGCACTCAATACATTTAATACTCATGACGGTCCAGAAACATCGAGCACAAACAAGGGCCTGCCCAACTTCCATTAACAGACAAAGTTGTGCAGGAAAAAAGTAAGCTATAGTGCGAGACTGCCACTTGTGTAAGGAAATTAGCAGACATGTTCCAGAAGTGATGTGAATGAGATCAAACGTCAAATTCTACGACCATCGATTGACAATGTACATGTCTTACAGAAATACCATGGAAAATCCACGGCCGGGCGAAGGCATTCCTCGTGAAGGCCCATCTCTGAAATGAGGATTGTGAAGCTCTTCCAAGAACTTCATTTTCTAAGCTCAACAGTTCATGAGAACGAGTTACATTTTCGTCCTTGTACTTAAGGCTCATACTTACAGCAGGTGGTCCAGATTGGAGCCTGCATCGCCCCGAAGGAAAGGAGTTTCAGACACCAGAGTATTTACTCTGGGGGTCTCATGGAAATCTGTAGGTCGATCCAATTGGTCTGCATCCAGGCAGATTATGTAGTAACGAGACTACTGTTCACCTCAATATCTCTGTGATCAAGCTTAACTGAGCCTTCTCCAGACAGCTCTGAAACAGCTGATACACTCGAAGTGTGAAAGGCTGGGGCACTGGTTATGTATTACAAAGAGCACTATGTAGTGTTATACTGTATATCAGAGATCAATCACGCTAGGTAGTACATCTTAAATTGTTCCGTTCTTGATCGACGCTCTCATCTAGATTGTCAAGATATATCACGTCATCATACTACTCGAGCCCAGCCCCATGTTACCTGTTCGGTGTCATCCGTTAACCATGGAGCATCTAGATACTCTCTGCACTTGAGGAGTCTTGAAAAGCGCAAATCAGAGTCACTCACCAAAAAAGGGTTTATCAAGCCCAATGTTACCTGTTTGTCTGTTGTCATCCTGTTCCAAGAGTAACTCTGCTCGGTTAACTTCTAGTTTTCTTCCTCTAAGTGAATGACTCTGATTCAAGCCGTTCAAGACTCCGCCTCAGTTTACAAACAGGCCCTACATTTTGGCCCTGTTACTTGATTTCCAGCCGTATCTGCAGTCACAAAATAGCTGTGCTTGTACTGGATGCCGCAGGAATCAAAGAACATGTTGTGGTCAGTTGATGTCATGACGTGGGTGAGTCAATTCCAGGAAAGCTGCTAGGGTAGGCAGTGCTTGCCAGTTCATACGATCCCACCGTATGTCACACGCCTTCTGAACTACTGTAACATGCCAGCGCGAGAAATGTCCCAAAACACGATGGGAATTCCCCTTCAAGTCCCATACGTATAAACGAAGAAATGACTACGTACCATCGAAAGATTCGATGGGATGACCCGTGAAACTTTACATGTATGAAACCATAACGGTAACATGGGTTTAGGCCCTAATAACATCACAGTATGAAACATCTGTAATTTCACCTGATATTTCCAACCCATCTAGTTGAAAAACGTCAAGAAAGATTAATATTTTAATAATACTTTTAAAAGAATCGTCTCTCGTATGAGACTGGCTAATGCTCTATGTAAAGCAATCGAAACAATTGAATTGAACAAGCTATTGAAGGAAGAAGAAATAAATAAATACAAGAGATCCGCAAAGCCAAGAGTAAAGAAGAGGGCGAATGGGGCTCGGCCTCAACAGCATCACAATGGGAATGACGTTTTGATGCAACTATGCACCTAAGATATCCCGTCTGTCTAGATCAAATTGTCAACGCTGTACCAAAGCACAGGTAGCAATATCGCCTAAATTCTAGTATGGATTGCACTGGCCAGTGTACTCCATGTATAGCAATATGTTCGTGAAAATGAGAGTGATACCTCATGTCTTTTGTTGGGGTAGGCTCTTCAACAACCTGCATCAGATTTTGATGTTCGTTTAGGTCTATCTTCGGCGCTGGCACGTCTCTTCGGCGTTGTCACGTTTGGTACATCATACTTGATAGTTTATTCCATCTACTTTGTTATATATTTCAAGTTGATGTCTACATTCAAGGGCTCCAAGGGTGTAATCTTCGCCTATCCCATACATTTACGTTGTAACTTGGTGGACAATGTCAAACATCAAACAACTTGTCACAGGAGCAACTTAACGTTCGCCAAATAATTTACCTCAACTGGTGTTTGTGGGACATCAATATTGTGAACTTTGCAGAAGCAATTAGTTCCATACACGACTGTGAAAAAAACTACACATTCGGCATGGATTCTATAATAGAAATGGAAAAGGCTTCAAACGTCAGTATCATTGTAAACGCAAGGAGTGTAAACTTGGACAGAAGTGAGGTAACAGAATATTAGTTCCCTTCATAATTGCCTTCTGGTGATACTTCGTGCTGGGTCTACACTTTGACACCGCAATGTTCACGTCCTCTCATTTCACATCAGCTTTCTACTCGCCAAAGGGCATGAGTCTGTACAGATGGAGTTCCTGCTCGACTTTCAAATTCACACTAAAGTAGTTCTGTATTGTCTATACACTCAGGGATCGAAAGAAATGAATCAGTCAGCACCGTAAACTGGAGCACATTAGGACCGTATTGTGCCACATGTTTCAAGCACTAGAATGAAGACATGGTGACAACAGCGCAGACTTCATGCAGTAATGACTTTCTAGTGCCGGCAATGAGGGGAAAGGACTTCAATGTAAGTTTTTGCAAGGCGAGTGAGGGTAACGACGATGGAAATATACATTACGTAACGGCTTGATTCGCCTTCGTATTACAAATTCATCTACATCGCTGCAATTCATTTAGTTTTATTGGATTTACCAGTTGAAGTTTCCTCTCAAGTGAACTGTGCCACTAGATCCAATACAAAGAACATTCTCTGAATGTTTGTCCAAAAAGCCTTGGTTTGATTAGTTTCTCAGGGTCTGAAAAGCTGAAGTCGTTCCTGAACGACAACTTCCTTGGACCCCGTCTGTCTTGCCACTACTAAAACGCTTTAAAAGACTGCGTCAAAGCGAGCATGCTTCTGTGTTCAAATAATTCTTGAACTTCTCGACAACAAATACCGGCATAGTCCAGAAGTGAATGAGAGCCCACCGAACACAATTCAATCAGCGCGCCTTGATAAGCAACTCACTTGGAAATGGAATGTTGCCATTCGAGAAATGCATATTCTATGCAGAACTCGACAATGGCAGCTTTAAGTGGCATAATGAGTAGATTACAATAGCATTGAAAGCATGGAGGGTTTCATTAACTAATCTACAACTAGAAATGGATAATTCACACCTATTCTCTCTCTTACAGTTAAGCAAGTGCCGCAAAGATTTTTTTGCTGAAGGGCCAATGATGCACACCTACCACTCTTCATGGAACCTGCCCACAAAACCATGGCCATTCGACCTTCTACTCAACAATGAGACTGATCTAGGCCATGACTGAGCTTCAAAGATTTTTGATCATGCATCCACGTCTACGCATCTACATGTGTGAGTGCCAGTGATCTCTATACTTACAATTGAGACCCTTTCTAAGGGTCATCATCGCATCCCTCCACAAACAAGTATCCTGCCTTGTTTGATCCGTTGTCGTAGCCACATTCTTTGCAACACAAACTTCTCCACATCTACACGTCCGTCATCTCTTCCTCTTTCATAGATCGAACTCACTGCAACATTTTTCATGTAGCCAAAATCTACGGACTTCCAACAACTCGATTCACCGTTTGATAGACATCCTAGACCAGATACTCCAAGAGAAAGGTCTAGCGATTGGCTGTCTTGCTTTTCTTTAGAGCGTTGTCTGGAATCTCTTCGGACAGAAGATGTTGGTGAGGTCAAAGCCCTACTCGTGCCAGCTGTAAAAGTAGCAATTATATCCTCCTCCTGGAAGCCAAACCATTCAAAAAGATGAGAGAAGCTATTGACGCAAGCTGCAGCAAATGCTTAACTCGCTATTGAGCGGGTAATCCTCCGTAAGTTAAACAACGAGACCAGTTAAATCGACTGACTGTACATATAACGTAGTACAACATGGTACAAATCAATTACCTCATCCTTGTCTTTCACATGATACTCTTGAGGGAGGAACTCGAGGTCTGTTTCCCATTGAAGCCAAGGTAAGACAAGCCCATCATCATTTAGAATTGTCTTCTGAAAGAACGTCGTTTTAGACTTGCCAGTACATCTGCCAGTCTGCTCAATCTGAGCACAGAATGAAATGAGAGGTTCAAGCACAAGAGTCTTCTTCTCTGAGGTGCGAACCATGTCCCTCTTTTGTGGACTAAAGCTCATATCCTTTAAAGACCAAGTTGGGCTTTGCATCTCCTTCTTTCCGAAGCTAGTTGACAAAGTGTCATTGGCACTCATTGGGTCCAGCCCTGAAATGCATTCCTCAAAAAACCGTTGTGCATCTTCGTCCAAAGACTTGGACACAAGCTGCTTCTCAACATCAGGACCCTGAAAAAGGAAGGCCATAAAAGAGTTACAGATAATTGTAGATTTGTGTGAGACATTTATAGCAGTAATAACATCAGACAATGCAGATGGTATTCTACGATGTCGATCTTCAGCTATCCGTAGATTATAAAAGATTCTTTCCTATTCTGATTCTTTTAAGGAGTAACTGTTTCCTGAAAATGTCCTCACACAGGGTTCTGCAGCGCTTTTTCATCCACTTACCAAAGAAGTCGAACAACAACACGCCTAGTGATTTCACAACTGAAAATACGCGAATCACGGCATCTACTTCAGCATAAGAAAACAGCACTTGTGAACGCAATAAGATTTCGTGTAATTATTTGTATACAGCCATCAAGCCATGGCCTGAAGACAACATACCATGAAAGGCTTCGAAGGAGGAGGAGGAGCTCGGGGTTGAGGTTTCGACCGAGAGGCAGGCTGACCAGGAACAAGTTCTTTGACTACTTTCACAAGATCTAGGCACCGGCGCTCCTCCACGGCTAGTTGACTCCAAAGCTCCTGTGCTCTCTTTTCAGACTATCGCACAACAACACAGTTTCAAATATCAGGAACGCATCTCCGCAGTTACGCATCACGAAAAAAAAAGACTGTCTGCAGACGACTTATTAGTACTGAATAGAACCCAATATATGTTGAATTAACACGCGGTGTACAACATGGATGAGCGTAACAAAGTACCTGTTCAAGCTTAGCAGCATACTCTCGACGAATATCAGCTACTGTAGAATCGGCACCGTCTGCTGCTGAAGACCCAGGTATGGTTATCTGTAGGCCCCCTGGAAATGGAGAACTAGGAACAACCACTTCCTTGCTCATGGACTTCTAAGATGAACACAACAAAAGACACTGTCAACAAAGGAAGAATCAATTGGCAAAAAAACCGCCGTGAATGGCCCGGCCAGTGCTTGAAAATGATATAGTAACAAAACATAAAGCATAGACCAGTATCGAGAGCCAATTCGTAGAGTGCACTATATAGCTTGTAAGCAACCACAAAGTCCAATAGAAGGCTCGTGTCCTAGTGCGTAAATGACGAGTGTGTAAATTCCAACTTGGCTTGAGAAGTAATACCTGTTCAATTTCATTCCTGATGTCGGACACAGCCTTGCGCATCTCGGCACGCATTGCGTCGTACAGGGTGATCGCGTCTAACTCGCGCGCCGATGGTTCCTTTATAGGAAAAAACGAAAAAAACGAGGAATGAAGGTCAGCTCAAAGCATACAATCTATTGGACTACTAAAACTTATGTAAATTTCAAAACTTTCAACACTAGGTCTGCAATATCTATACCCAGCTCTGGAAGCTCCACCACGCTTCCGAAGTAGGATTACATGAGAGGTCTAATGAGCGACTTGGCCGCTGTAAAACAGAGACAAAGAGACACTCAGAGTACACATAGAGATTGACAGAGATAACACAAAGAAGGTCTAATGGGCGACTGGCCGCTGTAAACGAGAGACAAGGAGACACTCAGTGTACACATAGATTGACTGAGAATAAACAAGGTACACACAACAATAACTCACGAACGTTACTGGCACCATGAAAACCCGAAGACTGCTCCCAAGATATTTCAGGTTCCACCCACCTTCTTCTGCGTGTGTACAGCCCTGATAGTCTTTTCTTCTTCTGGATGATCCCTGGATGCTTGATCGTCCCCATGTCGGTATCCACGTCTCTGACAATAATTAAATTGAAGTATGTGTGAGAGCAAATTCCTTCTTATTTACCACAACTTGATCAAGTGCTCTAGAGTGGAATCCAAGTCCAAGTGACTAACTGGGCCACAACCAATCCTCACAGTGAGGTAAAATAGTAAAGAGCAGAGCCTACAATCCCTGCAATTTGCAACCAAACTGGCGACTAAAAGAGTGAAGCACCACATTTAGCAAGGACAGGACGAAGCGCAAGAAACTTCTACTGCAGGTGGAAAACTCCGGGTTCTGTAGCCTTCTTGTTGCCTTACGTAGTAAGGTTCCAAAGGAGAATCTGAGTGATCTCGAGAAAGATCTCGTGAACTTGAAGAACGTCTCAGTCCACTGAGTGAAGACTCTGTCAGATTACTACTAGATCGCCTCAGTCCACCCTGGCGAGTCCCCTTGGTGTTCCCAGTTTGGGCTCGATACCGAGCACTACCTCCATACTCAGAAACTGCTGAACTTCGACTCCGTGCAGTGTAGCGCGAATACACCGAGTCGGCATCGCTCTGCGACAACCAAGAGAACAAATTGTGAACCCTAGGAAAACTCCCGGGAAAACGTAACCTCTTCATCATAGTCGAGGTAAACCTCGAACTCAGATTCAGTCCACTTGCGATAAAGTTTCATACCCCATGCTTTGATCAAACACAAAGCTCCGGCAATAGGTTGACGACATTGATCCCATCTATACATAATGCAATTCTCCCTAGGCTTCGTGAATAGAAGGAAACACACCTCAGAGTCACTCGACTGATGACGCGTAGAAGCTCGCGCTTTGTTGAAAATGGAGTCGAGGTGTGAATAGCTCGATTCTGCTAGCGAGCCAGAGTCTGAAAAGTAACGAGAACTGAAGTCTGAGAAGCTACGGGACCTTCTGTGACGTCCTCTGGTCGGTGTGTCCGGCTCAGATGGCATGTAGGATCCATCGGCTGGATTCCCTCCTCCTATATTACATGATCTTTTCGTTGTTGATTTGAACGCCGCTACAGCCATTGCAGATCACGTCTATAAACCTTTAGCAGCAGATGCAGGAGTGCTTTCACTTCCGAGGTTTCACCTTAAGAAAGATTGTCTGGGCTTGACAAAGGGCTAATCGGCGTCTCGGTCACGAAATTGAAAGAGCTGAGTAGTGAGATGAATGAGGAGAACGCGTGATCAAAAACTCTATGGATGAACTGTGAATCTGGGTTGAAGATTGCATCAACCGCTTGAGCCAGATGCCGTCACCTAGGAGTAAGAGATCGAAACCAGCTTAATCATCCGCATCTACTTCTTTCCTGGTTGCGAGGCAATCATCAGTTTTGCAGCCTTATTGTGCGCTAAACTTTCAAGAAAGGTCGAGAATTATCCTCCTTTCTTCGTCCCACCTGACAATCCGCGCGGTAACAGAACCTGAAGACAAAGCGTGCCCAAGTCCTGCGCTTAGTAGTAACACAATGTCTGGCATTCACGAGCCAAAGAATTTCCAGTCTTCTTAGGTACCCTGTACCGGAATCCTCAATGTTGCAGCCTTCAGACGCCGCGCGAGCGTCTACAAAGCTGGGAGGATTCGGCGTGAAACTGCAGAATTAACGCATCCCTGCCAAGTCACCTCCTTCAAAACTCGCGGGCGGCAAATCTAGAATAAATTGGCAAAACTAAGGCAAATTCGCGGGCTGGGGTCAAGAATCGTCAATCAGGTATACGAAACTCGATTGGGCTTCTATTAATCCTCTGTCAAATCGCCTCCAAGGTCAGAAAAAAAGCGCGTCTAAGTCCAGTATTTTAGTCGTCAAATAGGGAGAAACAACTACGGTCTAGGATTCAAAGAAGAAATGGAAACTTCCTTTAGAATCCCATCGTGTTTGGTGAAAATCCATCCGGTACTTCCTCATACGAGAAGAGGTACCAGAAGATTGGCTAACGACCGCCCTGCATTGTGTTGCAGGGCTGGCAGCTTCGCAGAAACAGCAATTGTACTCCAGAAACGGGACCCGAACACTGGACGACGAAAGCACCAATTACGCTACGACCAGGCGACGATGAGGTGTTGCCCGCCACCACCAGGACCTTCAAACGAATCACGTGCACGACCTCAAACTTGTAACGAGCGCAACTCCTCCTTCAAACACTAGTACAGTACGTGGAACCCACGAATAATCTGTTCCACTTATCCGGTTTTTTGCGAATTCCTTCTTTCCTGGGAGCCTACACGGACTTCCTTCCTGGATCTCAACCACGCTGTGACGCCAACGCACACGAGACTCGATGGCTACTCCTCCTCCCGAGTGTGCGTGGGTCCTTAGCTGTCTCTGGCGAATCCTCTCCGACTTCTTCTCCTCGTCGTCGTTGTGGGAGTCGGCTGGGCGAGTTGATGACGGACGATCGAGATCTCGGATCCTCTCCGCGCTGCGCTTCTTCGGCGACAAAGAGGAGAGAACGGGCAAGGCGATCGCCTCGACGCCCGAGGCCGATCGTCGCGATCAATCCAGCAATCAACCAAAAGGGCCAACCAACCAACCAATGGACCAACCAACCAGCCAATCCACTAGTGCACCACTGAATCTATCGATCAATCAACAATGCTGTCTGTATGTGAGTGTCTTCTGTTCCGAGACTCAAATCCTCCGGGAAGAAGAAGCAGCAAGCAGCAGCTAGCAGCTCAGCAGCATCCTCTACTGATTCATCTTCCGCTTGTGCCTCTGCCTGTGCATCACTTTCTTCTTCTTGCTGCCACCCGCGGCCCGTCTCGTCCTCCGCTCCGCTCCAACGACTGGGGGGACGACACCAGCGGCACGCCAACTCCTAAAGCTCCAGCAAACGACGCGCCATCCCCGCCGGCCCGGCCAAATTAGCAGGACCTCCCCATTCTCCCTCTGTCCCTAATCGAGGCGCCTCTCGCGCTCCCGTCCTTCGTCCTCCAGGCGCCAGGTCCCACAGCGCGGGGCCCCGGAACCTTTCCGATCTACGTGGTAGATTCCGTACCGCAAGGGCACTGCCGGTGGCTACCATGCTCCTCCAACCGCACCCGCCGTTGGATTCTGTCGCTTGCCGATCTCGGCACGTCGCGGTTTGTCGCACCAAAAGCGCCTCTGGGCCAGTTCACCGGCGACCGCCAGGACCGCCCTGCGGGCGCTACGTGGTACCATCCAGCCGTCGAGGTCCGGTGCGCGATCTCAAGGTCCAGGAATCTTTCCTTGAGCTTCTCGCGCTCGCGACTGGCTTTCGTCGTTGTCACCGGCCTTTGTAATTACACGCGATAATGCACAAAGGGCATTTATCGGTGATCTGGCCGTCTATTGAATCCGCAGCATTTTGTGCATTGAAACCGTCAGATCTGAGAATCTATGGCCCCTTCTGACAGCCACATTCAACTTAAAGTGAACCATCCTTGTCACCCCTGATACAGTTGGTGGAGATTGGCGGACATATTCATCCAGCGCTGCGGGCAGGCGGAGGGCGAGAGAACCTGTGGCCCTGCGCTACATCCTACGTCTCACGAACTCCGCAATGAGTGCGGGGCCTTCTCATCCGCTTTTGCAATATTACTTGGTGCCCACAAGTGCCATCTCAAGGATGCCCGCCGTCCGTTGGACCATCCGTCAGCTGTGACTTTTTTCTCGTGGGCGATTCTCTCTCGCATTAGGTCAGAAGCTTCTTCCACTCTTCGTGAATTTACTCTCACCGGCGCCAGAAACTTAGGTCAAATCGAGCCGATCCTGGCTTCCTTTCCTACTTCATGCCTGCCGAGCCTCGGCCCTCGGCTTGGAAGCTGTAGCACATTATGTCAGCAGATCCTCACGCTTCACTGTCTTTTTCTGCGGTCCTCTTCTGTACCCTACAAAACAGGACTTTCTGCCTTGTTCTGTGGTGAGCCATGAAATTTTCAATATATTCTCATAATCGTTGGTTTCCCCCTTATGAGCTGCAGAAAATATCACCACGTACAAAACTGGGAAAATTTTTGAGGAAAGGTGTAGCTTCAGTTCAAAAAACTCGATGATGTGAAACGGGAGGGACTTGTACGAACGCGCTTTCAAACTTTGCTTAGTACATCAGATTTTCACATTTTTTTCAAAAGGACTTCAAACTTATTTACAGCTCGAGTAAAAATTAATTTTTTCAACACTCTATATTTTGAGGGTGGAACAAATTTTGAAGTCGTTTTGGAAAAAAAAGTTGTTAAAAGAAAACTCCCGATACAAGAAGACTGCAACCTTATCTTGGACATGTCTGTTTTTTACTTTGTCATATTGGAGTGCTCGTTCAGTGAGAACTTTCAACAACGTAGTTGACTAAGCGGTTGTCAGCGAAAACAACCTACAGGCAACGATGTCTTAGACATATTCTCATCACTAGATGCCGGGGGAGAAGACATTCTTTGAAGGAAAAGGTGTGATCTCGATCCAGAAAGTGCACGCACCGGAACAGGGCAGAAATGATTTTAGATGATATCGAAAAAGGAAAGATGGTTGCAACTCTCTACCTCTACCTCTGTCCCTCGCACCCTGCAGCAGACCTTGGTCAAAGCTTTCCGACCCTGCACACAGGTTCCAAGCTTGCCCATTTTCGCGGAGGTTCGGGATCACCGTGAAGGAGGCCAAACATGTCGCGCGTCACTGTCATTGGCTACAGGTCCAGAAATAGAGGCTGTCTGAGCTGCTCTTTCAAATGACCGCCTGGCAAGGGACAAGACGATTTTGCCTTTTCTAAAAGAGGCAACACGGGCAGGTTCTGGATTTCAGACGACAGTCCAGTAGCACGGACGGACTTACGACTTACGACGTCCCCAGACCCCACCCTTGTGCCAGACCCTTCCCTTGTGCAGTGTCAAGATCGAAGCCAAGTTCTTGTGAGCCATGCTCACAAGAACACAAAGCAACAGTGGTCCAACACATAAATCGACACTCACGTGGATCGGTACACTCGGTCGAACAATTCTTATTCCCACCAGTTCTTCGACACAGGGTTGTAGATAGCTGCACTGTTAATCTTATCAGATGCACCTGTTTATGAAATGGATAGGCTAACTGTCATTTGCAGTGCGATTGCAGATCCCCACAAAGAAGGCCTGTCCACGGCTAGGTACTGGTACCTGCTCTACATGCAGGACGATGAGAGGTGGAACAAGATCCCAATGTCTTTTGGTGTGTTTTAAAGTATCCATCCAATCAATTCTCAAAGGCAATAGCCTTCTCCATGCGGGCAAAACCGAGGATTCTTCCGCACAGTAACCCTCGCTTCCAGTTAGACATCCTCTCAACTATTTACCGACATTGTCAGATTACAATGCTCATTCGACTTGCCTGGTACAGCTGTTTTTACCTTCAAAAATGGTTTCCTTGTGGGACCATCCCAACCCTTCCCTCAAAGGCGTAGCTCACATTCAAATCCACAACATACCGTACTTATTCAACTAGCTCACCGAACCAGAGGCAAAGATAGTTCGCCTTTAGTGATTACCACCAATAACACGAGTGGGTATACAGTCAATAACACAACGAAATAAACAAAAATCTTGGTGAAATCCGATTTAGCCATGTTTCTTGGGAAGGTGGGCTTACAAGAATAGTAGCTGATCGATATGGTGGGTCAGAAATCATAGGTTCAGCACATCGGCATTGCTCGATACAAGGTAACTAGGCTCGAAAATCGAAGCGTACCAACTTGTCAACTTCGACCTTTGAAATGGCCTGGTTCCAATCTGTCCAATGCTTCCAACCTTAAAATACCAGATAACAAAAGTCAATGCACCAAGTAGATTGAGCTCAGATGTCAGCCAACTTGGAGGTCCACCTTTTGTGCCATTCGAGCTTTGCTTGTAAGGACCAAGTGGAAATGACCGTGGCACTCAGTACCTCCACAACGCGGTAGATAATGTTTTAAGAAGTGAAAGCATAGATATTATCTGTATTTTGACAACCCCGACCTCGCTTTTACTCCAACTAAAACGACTGCCAGATCCGGCGGCTCCTTGGGTCGAGAACTCGTGACCAAGAGACGAGGGTGTCAGCTAAAAACAAGGACACATCATTGGGTCGCTAAAATCGGATCGAAAACTGTGAAAGTCGGCCAAAGTCGATGTAGTAATCATCGGGCTGGGCCCGTAACCGATTCCCTACTTGGTGGAGATACTTCTGAACCGGGAGTTGCTCGTAGTTCCGAGCTCGTGCTGTAATGAAAATGGTCGTAACGAAGATCCAGCCGCACCTAAAGTTTTCGGAACTGAGAAGAAAAATGAGAACAAACTCTGACCACAGTCACCAAACACTTCACCATTGACTTAAATAAGTGTCTGCCAGGTCAATGCTTGGTTGAGTAGTATGGCCACTGACAACAAACGCGGGTACCTCCAGAACCTCCGCCAGATAACAATCGCGCCAAAACTAGAAGAGCCACTGACTTTGGAAAGTTCCAGCCTAGAACCCAGCACACGGCACCAGCCAAACACAAGGGTCCAGCCAAAGTTAGGGTGATGTGGACTGAAAAAGCCCAGTGATGACCAAGAGGAAGGAAAGCAGCTGAGAAGTAGGTGGAGGTCCCAGTTATAAGTTAGGGGTCGCAGCAAGTGGAATTTTTGGAGAACACGCGTCGCGGTTGGAAATCCAGCTGCAATCCAGGCGAAACATGTCCCTGATTCACAGAACCGCATGTGCGACTAAACTGACGAAATGCATCCCGAAGTTGAAATCCCCCCATTAACCACTACGATCAAATCCCCACCCGTCCATCAAGTCCGAAACTCAGTAACTCATCTAAATTTATCGCAATCGCGGGTCTGCTATTACCTCACGAAGACGAGCCTGGCGCTCACATCATCAACTCATCTCATAGCATGCACGTGGTCGCCTGTAGATAACCCAATACGGAGCCATAACTGTAATTTCAGTTCGTATGGCATGCCTCTCTAACGATTTCAAACAATTCAGTACACAGTGGTTATCTCAAGGTGGACCCAACTGCACGTCCTGGTCTGCTCCAGATCGTCCTTTGTTTTGTGCGGGCGATCTTCCGGGAAGTTTGAAAACTAGAGCGCGGTTACTGTCACAAAACATGCTCAGAGTGAAGTTATGGTGGACATGTTACTCTTATTCCTCTACAATTCTACTGGAGAGGAATTTATCTGCGCACCTTAAAAGCGTAGTTCTCTCTCGCACGGAATCATAACAGACCATGATGTCTGCGAACAGGAAAGAATGACTGCCTCCCGCCCGCCGGATGATTGGTTTCACCGAGCGTAATTGCAGTTTCACATAACCCTCGTCGAGCTGCGATGTAAGTGTGCAATCGAGCAAAGTGATTGAGGTTATTATGATGTCGATCATATGTTCCTTCCACTCAAACTCGAGAAGAAAGCCAATCGTCCCTCGAGAATCTCGAAGAAGGTCAAAACAACGGCTCACCTTCCCGAGTGCATCCCGATACTTCGTCCCATCATTCTACCCATCGACCATGCCCTCAATGCAAGAGTTACTACCGCTCGAACGTAAGCCCTTCTAACTCTTTGGTTCAAAATTTGAACTATGGCCTTATGCGCTCGTCGCTGTAAAGCTGCGCACGGAGTACGACCGGAACTCAGGCTCAGGACTTCCCGCGTGCAAGGTCAAAATTCGAAAGGATACGAAATTTGAGTTCCTCGCCTAGCTGCAGCGCAACGTGCTGCACTGCGCTAAGCTGCGAAGAATTTGAATTTGACGGGGGGAGACATCTCTCCACCTCCGTCTTCGGCTTTCCGTTCTATCTAGCGCGCGCCTGGTCTAGACTCCGTCGTTCGAAAGCAGAGCGCGGGGAGATTCGCGATCCGAATATTCTCCAGCCGCGACGGCAGCACTGAAGTGTCCAGTTGCAGTTGCGTCCGGGTATCTATCTGGTCCTCGATCCCTAGAGAGGACGGCCTTCCGCGAGCAGAACGGAGAGGATGCTCGCCAAGCGGGACGAGGCAGGGTCCTCTGCCAAGGACCTTCCTGCTGGTTGGTATGCGAAAGGACCTGGCCTGCTGCTGATGCTGCTGTTCGACTTGCGGCCGTCCCACTGTTGGTTCCGAGACCTAAGTGAGTGTCTAGAGTTCCTGCCGCTGCTCGACGTTGTGTCCATGCGTCACCTTTTCTCCTCTCGGGAGGGAACAACTCCATCTCTCTGTGGCGCTCGATTCTGACAAGACTGTTTGTGGACGACAAGGCGAAACGAGTGTTTCTGACAGTTTGACTTGGCGCTTCCTTGTTCGTTGCATCACCGCTTTTCCGAGCCAGACTGATCGCGGGGTGACGAGAAATTGCCTGAAATGCTGACTCCCCTTTTTCAGCTCTCAAATCGCTTTTAATCGAGTCTTATTAGGCAGTCTTATTAGGAAAGGTGATGCCTCTGTTTTATCGGTCACCTCGGCCGGATAGGAGTTTTGTGGAAAAGCAGTGTCATGCTGTTGAAGATCCCTGGACTATTGGATTTTGTTCTTCTCGACCTTTCTGTTCTTTATATCTTTCCCTATATCTTCTCCTGGGCCCTTCTATGCTTTGCGGAACACATGTCTGCGCCTTGTTTTTGTAAAAGATAGACGTATCATGAATTAATGAGAATAAATAAGGAGATGTTCAAAGATGATAGCGGAGGGTTTCATTTTGAGGACGTTTGAAAATCAAGTAATCGCCTTATAGGGGCTCGTCATCTGGAAGTTGTATGATGGAAAGCTGTGTATGAAGGGCAACGACGTAACAACATTACCAACAAATACCAATGTCGGAAGTATGTCAAATGGATATAATATAAAACGGAACACCCATCGAGTCCTACAATGAATAAAACTGATGGTTAGCCTATCAGTATGACAATCAATAGCTTGTGCCGAAGGTTTATCAGCTGGGGTTGTCAAAAAGCATTGTGAGCAAGATTGTATACAATTCTTGCACACAACCGGACCTGTGTACTCGAGTCGCGACTACGACTCCACATGTGCGCTAATGTTTGATTTATCCGGACTACAGTTCTCGACATTAACTTAATAACGTATTGTTCATAGGTAGTCTTGCCCAACTCGCATCCTATTTTTGGGTAAATTGTAAAATTAGAGCATAATTATTTAGGAAAACGCTCAAATTTCATTCTAAATCTATATTAAATATCCATAGTCATATTCTACTGCTTTCATCTGTTTATTCAACACCGCATAATGTTGGATCATGGCATGTCAACAATTCTGTACTACCTTTGAGAAGTCCAAACTCTTCACTTGCACATGTAAATTGACCTCATTACAAGAGTCTATGTTTCTATAAGAACTGTGGGTTAACAACCACCATGAGTAAAGTAAGAGCAAGTGCAAACAATGTGAGGAGAAGATGCCTCAAAAGTAAAGGATGATAATCATTCCTTGATTAACCATGTAAGCTAATGTGTCATATTTGCACTTGCACATTTATAGATGTACTTTAGTTATGAAACAACGCCATCTAAAAGTTCTTTTGTGTATAAGCCCAAGCTGAGAAGAGGCATGAACTTTTTTGTACAAACTACTGTTGAGACCTATAGCAGAAAGGCTAATATTATTTTAGGACTTGTTTTGACTTTGAGCTCTTGTATACTGGTACTGCTCTTCGATGGAGGCAACTTGGGCCCAAGTCCATCATCTACAAGACCACTTTTCTTCCATTGTGTCGAACGTAGGGTTTTAATGTGCGTTTTGTTCATTACGAGCAGTGAGAGGACAGAAAGATAGTATCAAATCATATTTTATATGTTTATAGAATATGGTGTTCTTATTGGTATATATACAAGTTGAGGAACCGGAACATGCTTATAGGTGAAATCACTACCAAATGATGAGGATGTCTCATACTTGCATGTTATTGGTACAAGAAAAAACATTCTAATACGGAAAATCTTATATCGTATAGTATTCAATTTCATAAAGTAATCAAAAAACATCAAAAAATATAGCGATAAAAACTTAAATGATTCATTAGATATATGTTGTTAGAGATAAGAAATATAGTTGCATCATTTCAACAGTTGCCAAACTCACAAAATTGACGTTAAGTCTAGAAGAGCATTTCATGGTTATGACAGATCTCAACATTTCTATGAAACTTATATCAGATCAAATCGTAAGTGGTATAATGGAATAGATAATTTTCTGCCATTTTTATATTATTAAATGTAGTCACATGGAACGCATTCTCATATTTTCAAAAAAGCTTTGATTCATTCAGATTTATCATCCGAGTTACCATAAAACACAAATCAGACATGCAATAGGCAAATTATAGACATAATAACCAGATAATGAGTCAAAATATTTTATAAGAGACTGATATTAAACTTCAATATCTCTACATGTTATACTGTGCATCATGAAAACTCATCTGAATAAAGAAAAATAAAATGCAATCAATACCATTCAAAAAAAATGTCCAACACATCACTTTCTATAGACGAACAAAAAAATTTCTACACAGACTTAGAAAGATTACATTAGAAAGTAAACTCAACTTTTGAAAACAGATCTAGTGCTCAATCTAAACAACAAGAGATCCAATCAATATCTTTCAAATCTTTATATCCTTCATTTATCAAAATATATCATAATAGTAATTCATCATTAACACTAATTTAAATTTCTACTTTAAAAAAATGACAATCACTTTTTTAGAATTATTGTCATTTTGATCACCTAAAAATGATAAATATGATAAAAATGTATGATGGTTTTAATCTGTAAGATTTGAATGAATGACATGTTTTTTTAAAGAAAAAACATGACTATATGATGATTAGTGTGATTAAACATGATATGTGTTTGTATTAGATCCATTACAATCATATTATATAAACTATGTTTGACTTTAATCTAAATCAAAATTATAAAATTAAATAAAGTAAATTGATATACATCAAAATATCTTTTAATTTATAGAACATGCATATTAACTGTTATTGGTATTATTATATTGTTATTATTAACTGTATTTACTCATTAACTTGGTAAAAATTGAGAAAAAAATCAAGATTGTCTTACATATCACGACAAAGTCTAGAATATTTTCTCTTTAATCAGTTTAAAAGTAATAGGATTAACAATATTTCCGAAGTAGAAAACTTGGCGTTTAAAATTTTAATATGATCGCGAAAAAATCGTTTAAGTGAAGAACTCTGTTTTGTCAGATTCCATATTCATAACAAGTTTGTACACATTAATTGATTTTAATGCTATATATTGCAATATATGGATTTTCGTAAAAAATTTTGTCATATTTCTCAAACTTTGATAGAATGATATAAAGTAGTATATCAATACATTTTTTATGAATTAAATTAAATCTTCAACATATTGACAAAAGGATATAAATGTTCACATTTTTTTTGCTTTAGACTTAATCAAAGCCAAATAATGTATTTTCATCATGAAAAGGAAATTCATCATTTGATTTGATGGATCCATCATTTCTTAATGATGGATTTGTATCTAAGATATATACATTAGAAAAAAAATATTGACTTAAACTCTGATTTTGAAGTATTTATGTAGGTGATCTGAAAAACACTAACGGCTTTTAACTATTTTCATGAATACTTCTATTAAATCGAATACATCTTGTAACAATAGTTGAATCAAACAACAACTTAGAATTGAATTATCACATACGAAATAGAGCAAGATTTAACAAGAAAAAAAATATTTATATCTGTTAACTGAATAAAAAATTTGAATCGGTTCTTGATAATTTCAGAAATTAAATATATTTTTCTAAGAATTCGAATTAAACAAAATATTCTTTAATCAATAACTTGCATTTAAATATACATATATTCATTTTATTAATGTACTAATATAGTATAATCAATTATATATAGTTATGCAATTAATAACTATACTTGTTCAACTCGGAACATACATTATAAAGTTTTTAGATACATGAAGAGCAAAATCATTATTGATTTAGTACTCAAAAATATTATTTTGCACTAAAATTATCTGAAATATAGATAAATTTGATATTTTATCACTTAGACTTACATTTATTGAATTAAGATTATTTTTTGGTATTTTATAAATTTTTTGTTGATAAAAAGTAACTTATTTTCTAATTAAAGTTTTTAGTCTCCAATTTATATAAATTGAAATTTGTAAACATCCACTGAACATCATAAAATAATAATTTCTTTAAAAAAAGTGTCAAAAAGTGTCAAATTTTAATCATTTATTATTTTTTCATTTTAAACATCTCTCTTAAATGACATTTTTCCTTAAATTTTAAAAATACTTAGGAATGAAAATTCATTTTTATCTATTCATCATGTTCCATATAACATCGATTAATACATGTATATATTACCATCCCATATTAATTTTTGTGATTTAAAAGAAATAAATTTTGAAAAATTCAATTACAAACTGACTTTCCTAAAAGAAATGTTATGTCTTTGAAAAGTTCATTGTCCTAATCAAGTTGGATATCACGTATTTAGATACATGATTTGTTATTCCAGATTTATATCAAAGACATATTCCATCATTACAAAATATGGTTTGAATAATCAAGATCAAATAAATACATGGCACTACCAATTTCAAAATATTTTCAATGATTTCCAAGTTATTTTAGTTGAAATGATATTATTTATTTTCAAATTTGATATAGATTTTTTATAAGCAAATGATATTCTTGTTTATCATTGTAGATTTTATTATGAAGTATAATATTTAAATATTTTTCAATTTATGATATTATTATTTTATAAATAATAATGTAACCAACTTAATTATTAAATAAGATAATATATATATTCATACAATTTATTCCATTATGAAATATTCAATTAGTTGGGTTAGTAACAAATTATATGTCAAAAGTGTGTTTGTTCATTGGTTTATCCACCCGAAGTACTCCATACACAAATGCACAATGACGATTAAAGGTGATATTTTAGATAAACGTGTGTCTTTGTTTTACATAATTTATCAATATAAAGAATCCTATATGTAAAATTTGATTTAACAAAAAAATAGATTTAAAAATAGATTATTATAGAGGTAACTGGTTCCTATATAAGAATCACATTGTAATAAAACTATTTGTTCTTCCATAATACATGAAATACTTATCATAAAAAGCAAGATATGAAAATTTTAATTATTGCATAAATGCAATTAAATATAAATAAATAAATAAATAAATAAATATAAATATATATATATGTGTGTGTTTAAAGACAAAATTTGAACAAAGCATATGCATGTGATTGAAAACAAATCATGTTTACAAATAATAAAATTTCAATTCATTCAGAATTCATAAATAAACGTATTTGTTTGAATTTTTGTTGAAAAAATAATACATAGTTGATCTCTAATGATATAGTGATTTAATTCTTTACTAATTTGGATGAGTTTTGAAATTTGGATCTGAAAACACAGAATAATATGCTGTTTAAATTCTATATTGAAATTCAAGAAATCAATTTATGAGATATGCATTTTGATTTATTCAACACATTTGTACCGTTAAAGATAACTTTGTGATTAAATTTTGTGAAAAAATACATTGCTACATTTATGATGAAG